GAAATGATGCCACGGTGAACAAAACAAAAACCACTAAGAAAAATAAAATGACAGAACTCACAACTCTTTTTATTTTCCAGAATAAACAGTCTCAGTTTGAACATTTCATCTTATCTTTGTACTACTTTTAATAAATTATCGAGTTTCCATTCTCCTGCTATTTACATCTCACACAGCGCTCCAGCATTTGTTGGAGATGTGTTTGTAAACCTGTTTTGTACTCGTAATTCACTTCTGAAAAGGTAAAAACAACACAATGTGAACTTTTATCTCTGTGGTTACATCATATGTGTGGCTTTGAGTGTCAATAGAAACGTCAATTTTATTTATGCAGCACATTTCCTCACATGTAAACTCAATGTGTTTAACACAGGAGACAAAAACATACAGTGGTCAGTAATGGCTGGGCAGTAAGCCTCGACAAGCTGTACATGAATGCATGTACATTATTTTTCTGTATGCAAACTATTGTCATTCTCAAGTTTATGATGTGTATCGAGTGATACTCTGTTTAGAAGTTATTACACAGGCTGTTGCATGCAAGCATAAATGCTGTAATTACAGTACAGCTTAATTATTGCATTCAGTTCCATTTTCCAGATTGCAGTTCTGAGAAATTCCTGCACTTTTCTATAAATGTTGCATTTGTTTGAGCTTGATTTAAACAGTTTCACCATGTCAGGCCTGCAGAACTTGGACTTCTGTACTCTAAATACAGTCAGATAGTCATATCCTTCTGCTCACTCAGAGGCAAACACATCTTTAATCTCAGCTCAGTATCATATCTTTCTCTTAAAACTCAAAACGAGAAGAAGAATTTTACTCATATTTGGTCAAAACAGGAACGAGACAAAGGTGTTGAGTCTGCAAAGTGTCGCACAAGAGCCCGACGGGCTGACGAGACTGACAGGCTGACGCAACACTCTGAAATACTAGCTGCTGTTTACTTTAATCAATAACTAAGTGAGGCAGAAGAAAACAGGATGCCTGGTGTTTTTCAGGAAAAGTGCACCGGACAAAAGATGCAGAGCTTACCAGAAGCTGCTTGATAAGCAGTACCGGGGAAGTCTGGAGCGTTCTACTCCATCGAGAAATGTGTTCGTTTCAAACCGCTCACCAAAAATATGTGAAAACAATATATAATCGCACTACGAGGAACCCCCCCCTCCCCTCCCTGTGTAATTGCAACAGTTATCAGGAGAACAGTTGATGTCCCTGCACACCATTCTTACAGCAAGTCTAGGGTGAAATGTGTTTTTGCAGCACTAACCCAGTCCTGCTGGGGAAAGCAAACATATTCGGGAAGGCATGCAGAGCGATTCCATTTCATCCAACCTGCGTATTCAAATACTTTGCTTCAAAATAGCCACTCATCATTCAAGCAGGTACTCCTCTTGCCAGTGAGACAATGCGGCCAAGTTTGGTGTTTGGCAGTGGCTCATTTGGTCTCCGAACATCAGAATTCCTGACACTGTGGCAGGAGCTGAAAAACACCAAAACAGCGTGAACGTAAAGCTCACATTCAGCACTTTCTCAGCAACGTTGCACTGGGTCCCTGTGGTTTTCTTCAAATGTGTATTCTCATCAGTGCCCATTAGCCTGCAAATCCTAAAGAAATGCTTTCTCTTTTTTTAGAGTCTTATCCGCATAATGGGCACTGGTGCGTTCACTGGGGTTCGTACGCCAGTGTCCAGAAGGCAGGGAACATATGGATCGCTGACAGAAGCTTGCTATGCCCACACGGGGCTGTGTGAAGGTGATGGGTAGCCGTTCTGTTGCCTCTGGGTTTGCATTACAGGAGCATGAAAGGAGAGCACGCTGACAGCCAGCAACAAATTATTAGTGTGAGTAGCAGCAGCCTCTGTTCTCCTGCTGCTGCTTCTGCTGCTGCATGGGTTCACTCATACAGCAGCATGCAGCATTCCTGCAGCTCACACACAGTTAGCCATGCGGTCAGCAGCACCCGGTCTGAGCTGTTTTTTACTCAAAACTTGTCACCTCAGCAAAGGGAGCAGTACTGCAGCACTTTTTTTTATGAAACATGTAGTGAGGCTTAGTGTAGTGTTGCTGGGAGTATTTGCTAAGGTAGCCCTGACAGGCTTGCGTTTTAGCTGACTACTGCAGCTGGATTTTGCAAAAACCTCACTTACTCCCTTTAACTCAGCAAATCAGCAAAGTGGCTTGCCTCACAGAGCTGCAAACAGATGCCATGTAATTCATTTAAATGAAAACAAGTGTTTGTCAGCAGCATGCTTCTCCTGCATTGCTGTTCTGTGAAATAATCCCACTTGTGCTGCACTGGTAAAAAGGAAATTGTGAGTCATTTAAGCCAGATCTCACAAATCACCACTACTATACCTTTAGGAATGGAAAACATGTTTGCTTTATATGAATGAACATGACCGCAAACCATACACACACTCAGACGGTCTTTGATTGCCATGGTGACGGTATGAAAACAAGCACGCACGCAAACAACCGTTCGGGGGTACTCGTGTATCGCCACATGTCAGAATAGCCTCTTACTGCCTTTGTTGACACTTTGTTGACAGTTACAACAGAGTCCACTTAAAGTTTGCATGAAAAATGTGCCTTCGGGGCAAACTCGCAGAACTGCAGACCAAACCTTTTTTCAAACGGCAAAGTGATGTTAATGGAAACTAAAGGTTTATACTGGTGGTACAAGATAAGTGCAATCCTATAACTCCTAAAAATCAGCAATGTTTCAATTATCCATCTGGCTCTAATCAACTTTAAACAGTGAAGCCACGTAAATAGTGCAGCTCAAAGTGCAAAGAGAATTTCAGCACAAGAAATTTCTAACAATTCCTACCTGAAAAAGACACTGAGACAGCTCTGTATTACTGGCATAATCTCAATGTCATGTGAAGACGTCTAAGGCTTCTTTCACTTGTGAAAACAAGATGCACAATTTTTGGAAACATGTTACCAAGTTTTGTTTGGAATTATACAATTCAGTGGCCGACTGTACAAGGCAGCTTGACTTTTGTCGAATAACTGAATCTGAAAGGCGCCTCACACTTGCTCTGTCCCGTAAGAATGTATGTTCCAGTATTATCTAGATACAGGCTGTGCGATGCACTGATGCCATCTCTCTCTGCACATCACAAGTCTAACTGCCTCTCTGTCAATACTAATTAAGTGGTCTTAAATGAGCAATAAGATGAAAAAGACAGGTGGACAAGAGACAAAAAAGAGAAAAATGCTGCTTAAGGTGCAGTGAGGGGATGGGTCAGTCAAAAACGTGAGCTTTAAAGCAAATGTTTTGGCAGTTTTCTGGTGTGGAGTGTTCAGGTGTGTCATCAGAATGACACAATCATTCTAGGAGAGGCAAATATAACCCAAATTCAGACGGTGCAGTGATGGGCAAAAAACCCAAGAGCTACATCACAGACTCTACAGGCCTCAGTTAATATGTTAAATGTTAAAGTTCATAACTGTACAGTTAGAAAAAGACTAAACAGGTACAACTGATTTATAAGTGTTGCCAGGAGAAAGAGTTCATCTCTATAAAAAAGCATTGCAGGACAGCTTAGGTTTGCAAAGTTGCTTCTGAACAAACCACATCCTTTGGATAGATGACAGCAACGTGGAGATGTGTGGCCATAATACGCAGCACCATGTTTGGTAATAAACACACATCCCATACCAACTGCCAAGCACGGTGGTGGAGGGGTCATGATTTGTACCACTGCTGCCGCAGAACTTGGGCACCTCGCCGTCACTGAATCGACCAAAACTTCCTCTGTATACCAAAGTATTCTAGAGTCAAACATCCGACAGATAAAGCTTTGCCAAAATTGAGTCATCAAACACTGTAACGATCCCGAGCACATCAGGAAAATCTATGTCTGAGAAAGCCCAGACCTCAGCCTGATTGAAATGCTGTGGCAGGATCTTTAGAGAGCGTCCCATAAATAAATGCCCAGAAACTTTTTCATGTTTTCTTCTTTTTCACATGAATTTAATTACATTATTGTAGCTTTTTTTCAGTTTTGGAGATTTTTTGTGCACTTTTGCTGAACTTTAAAGGTGATAATTTGCATATATGAGCTACCTTTAAGGTCAAACGGCTCACTGTTCTGTGTCGTTGACCTTGTATAACTACATGTTTGAGGATTGAGGCATTTTGTTTTTGGAAGCTGGGTCCTCTCCTCCCACATAAACATAAAGCAGGCAAACAAAAAGCTACTAAACTGGCACTTGTAAACGCAGGTCATGAAATGTAAAAATTCATTTTTAATATCAGGTTAATAACAGCAATAGCATGATTAATTATTGCTGCTGGTAACTTATGATTACACACTTTCTCTCCACATCCCTTCAGTCGTATTAGAAGTAATTCACTTGCAGTAACAGACACGCTGTATAAAGTGCATTATTTTGAGCACAGTAAAGGTTTAGTGTGAAAAAAACAAACAGTCCACGGTGGTTTGTGAACAGAGTGGCCTGAGATGAAGTCAAATTCTTGGCCTGAATCCTTATTACAGTCCGCCTCTGATACAGTTATAACACTTTTATACATAAATGACTTCTACAAGACAGCAAGCCTGAAAGGAGGCGGCTTCACCGTGCACGGTGAGTGGATTGTGTTGCATGTTTTTCTCGTGGACAGCAGCGAATCTAAAATCACACCTGCATAACGTAACAGCCCAGCGTGCTGCAGCAGGCACAGGCTTTGTAGTACGATATCACTGTTAATTGTGCATGATGCAGTCTCCTGAGCAGACCTTCACAGGCACTGACAGGGTAAAGCTGATAACAGCAGTAACAGCAAGGTGAATTTAAAAGGCTTACGCGTTTATTTAAAAGCGGCATATCCTGGCTAATTATTCATGTAATTCTGACCGGTGAGCCCTAACGTCTGCGCTGCTCCGGAGGATTACCAGCCTAATATTATATAAACACAACCGGAACCCAAATCACATTAGCATGTTTCATCCACTGCAGACCCAAAATAACACAGAACGGATACTTACTGATGGCCTCAACGGGAAGCCGTGAATTCAGGATACGTTTATATCTCGTCCGCCACTTCAAACCCCAAACGCAGATGCCTCGTCTTCCTCCGTGTCGTCGCCGCTGTGGAAGAAAAACGAGCACAGGCTGAAGAGAGCGGCTGTACGGTCGCATGTACCGCAGTGTTCACAGCCTGCCGTCGGCCTCCTTCTTCTGCTCCGTGTTTCGCCGCGGCTGGGGAAGGAAACGCTGCATTACTGCCGCTGAGCGGTGCGGAGTCGGTGCAGGTCGGTCAGGGATGTCCTACCCCCCTCAGACGTCCGTGAAGTTACCGTAGCAGTAATTAGCTTCCGCTCGGGAGTTTCAAAATAAAACACAAAGGCCCGCAATAAACCCATCTAGAATAAACATCGTATATAAAAACACACACGCACATAGCGAGGAGGTCAAAGACATAACGCTCAGTAACTGTTGACTTTTAAAGCGTTTAACATGAGATTTAGTTTGAAATCTAGTTTGCACAAAGCTCCTACAGGGGTGTTTTATGCATACTGTTATGCAAATATCTGAAATATTATTTTTTATTCTTGGACTAGAGTAAGTCTGCATGTTTCAAAATTCACGATAATTATTATTTACCTTACACTGGACCTTGGTGCAACACCTACTTATATCATTCACTGTCAGATGCAAGCAGTTTTAGACATCACACCACGCCACCCACAACCATACAACCATGTAAATAGATAAATAATAAAGATACCGAAACTTTTAAATACTGTTTTTGTTATCTGTTATATTGACCACTGACATCTTATATGTAACTTAGTTTGAAATCTAGTGTGAATAAAGCACTTAAAAACAAATCAGTTATGCAAATATCCAAGTTCATGTTTCTATTCTTGGACTGTCCTGGAATAAGTTTGCCTGTTTCAGTATTCAAGATAACCTTATACTGGACCTCAACCATTTTCTTCTTACACTGTCAGATACAAGCATTGTACACACAACAGTACCCACTCTAATATAACACAATAGATAGATAAATAATAAAAATTATTGAAAATTAAACAATATTCCTGTTATTTATCTAATAAATTCTTGATTCATGAAGTTGTCATATATAAACAATAATACTGAATACCTATTATTTTCTAAAATTAATAAAAAAAATTATGAAATGTGTATTTAGCTGAGTCGAAATCACAGTCGTTTGGCTCATTTGTCTAACGTCATTATTTTAAATTACTGTGTTATGTTTCTGATATATCCTCTGAAAAATGTCAACTTTTATGTCCACTTTAAATGTACATTTAAAAAAAGAAATTCTAGTGTTTTAATAATAGTTTAAAAATAATCCTTCCAATAAATAACTTAAGGTGAGAGTAATTGCGTTAAAAGACACATCAAGCGAAGCTGAACTAGGGCTGACTTGTACTTTCATGTAATAGGGTTTTGTACCACAACATGGTCCAGCGAGCAATGTCAGCTATAATATACCAGCAAGCCATTAAAAAACATTCATATTTACATTATCACGCTGGAGAAGGCACAGCCTCTTTAAGACAAAAGGAAGAGCCAAAAGAAAGTGTTACAAATGGTCAGACATGTTATGGTACTGAAAAGAGTTACATCATTGTACTGAAACATGTGCAAACATACATGGGAATACAATATATAAGTATAAAAAAATACACAGAGTTTGTGCAATTCTAATGAGCTTCACAGTCAATATTTGCTATGTCCACCTTTCTTCTTCAGTTTAGTTTGAACTAATCAGCTTTCCGGTAATTTCTGTAAGTATTCTAGAATCATTCTTTAGGCCTCTTAATTATTGATTCTCTGTGTATATTCTTTAATAATTAGAGTCTTAGTTATTTGTTCCAGTTTTTGATTATAGTTTATGAGCTTTGTTCTTAGTTCTAAATTTATATCCTTCGGGTTTCTTGTTATTGTAATTTCTGTGCGTTTCTTTTTCGTGCTTGATACCTTTGTAATCTGGTTTTCTGTAGGAGTTTTTACATTTATATTTTGATCTATTTTTTATCACAATATTTTGCTAATATTTAAATCTTGTTTTAGACTAGCATTCTGTGTCTTTTCAAGTCTCTGTCAGTTACTTCCTGTTTTATTTTGGTAGTCCTTTCCAACATGTGTCTTGTATTTTATTTTACTTCCTTTGTTCCATTTCATTCCTTTATTCATTTCAGTGTTATGTTTTTACCCTGGTGTATCCCATCTACCTACAGTAGGCCTTCTTTTGTCCTCCACATGTGCAATTCCCACAATTTATTTATTTATTTTTTTGACAACACACTGCACAATATCGGTTGTGTCTGTCTCAATGTTTTTTACCCTCCCTTTTCCCTTTACCTTCACTTATGGTATGTTTATCTAGTGGCTGTGCACTGATTACATATGGCAGGCAAACACTTCTTTCCATTCATTTTGGGCTGACCCCTGCTGGAGTGTGGGCAGTGCTAATCTACCACAACTGGATTCGTCTTTCGGCTTCTCCTACCTACCACTCTCTAATCTCCACAAGAAACGCTAAAGGAAGCGGGGAAGAAGGAGTGGCCGTCGCGTCAGTCTCAGGGCCTTCCTCAGAGCCGACGGGGAGTTTGTTGAAGCAATCTAAGCACTCTACGTCAGGCTTCTAGTACCCTGGCCACAGATGGCACTGCTTAATGTCAGGTCGCTGGTATTTAAATGACTTCTTCTCTACTAGCGGCCTTGATGGTTTATTCCTTACGGAAACCTGGATTCGCCCTGGTGAGCCCATCCCTTTCTCTGAACTTCTTCCTTTGGACTGTGTCTTTTTTTGTTCACCGAGGCTTTCTGGTAGGGGAGGTGGTTTAGCTTCGGTTTTTAAAAACGTATATAATGTTCGGCAACTTTCCTCACCTAACTTTGCTAGTTTTGAAGCTCAGTTATTGGAGATGACTGCTTCCACAACCACTCTGTGTGTGTTGGTCTATCGACCGCCCACATATAACAAATGTTTTATCTCGGACTTTGCCAACTTCCTGGGTTCCGTTCTTTTTAAATATGACTCTGTTCTTATTCTTGGTGATTTTAACATACACATCTGTTGTAAGGATGACCTCCTTGCTAAAGACTTTCTTGCTTTAACTGACTCTTTTAACCTCCTTTAGTGGGTAAATGAACCAACCCATGTTAAAGGCCATATTTTGGACTTGGTCTTTACGTATGGCCTGGATATCTGTATTAAGAATATAAATGACGCTGAGATTTCTGACCATTTCCCAATTTCTTTTGATATTGGTTTATCTGCCACTGGATCTCAGTCTGGAGCTCTTTCTCGTCCGTTATGACTCCTGACTGCTTCTCAGTTCGCTCATCTGAGGGTTATGCTAATATTTTGTTATCATTACTTTCATCTGCCCCTGATTTGGCTGTACCTAACTACTGTTCTCTCTGCTTGGTTGATGGTTATGCTAATATTCTGTTATCTCTTTGTTCTTCTATTCTTGATTCTGTTGCTCCAATCAAAATGAAGCGCTCTAGAACCTACTCTCATTGCTGGCTAAATGATATTATGCGTGCTTTACGTTGTGTTTGTCGCCGTGATGAGAGAAGGTGGAAAAAAGATAAACTTCAGGTTTCTTATGATATGTTACGGACCAGCCGCTCACAGTAGCCATTGTGGCTAATGGTCACAACCCCGTATGCTATTTAAAATTCTTAAATCTGTTGTTAATCCCTGTTCTGATATGCCCTTGCCATATTCACAAGCTCTTTGTGAGCGTTTTCAAATTCTTTTTTTAAACCATTTTCATGGTTTTATAATTGATACGTGCCAGGTCCTTTTCTCTTTTCCCTCCCATCTCATTTTTCCTATCTTATTTTGTCAAGCACCTTGGTATACCCTTGGTTTTTTAGTTTGCTTTATAAATAAAGTTTATTATTATTATTATTATTATTATTATTATTATTATTATAATAATATAAAGAAATGATGGGTGGCTCAAGACTTGTCCCTGTGCAAAAGTCTTGAGCAGTCTGTTTCAGTGTAAAAGTCAATAAAACTTTGTGCATTATACCCACACTTCAGCAATTTGCAGATGATTTTTTTGTAATAATTTATCTACAAACGTCTTTATTTATACAGCACCAAATCACAACAACAGTCGCCTCACAGGGTTGAAAAAAAAATCAGAAAGCTCACACTGAAGAAAATGAAGTATGCTGAATATGATTCACCTCAAAGAAATAAAGTATGGATTTCTAACCAGAAGCAATATAATCTTGCACTCTGAAATTTAGTTAACAAACAAAATCTGATTTCTTGATAAACACAACTCGTTTGCTGTGGTAAATGTTATTTTAATGGGAAGTATTAATCTAACTCCTGGCCGAGTCTCGGGAGAGTAAAGAGTGTCTCTAAGTTCCAGCAACTGCAAAAAAGTAGCTTACAGCACCTGAACCGCATGACAGCACTAATTTAACATAAAGCAAACAAAACACCAAACTCCAAACAACCTGCACCGCAGAGTTACACAACGATGGCACGATGAGGTAAGATGCTCACATGAATGTATTGAAAGCAGATGTAGTGCTGCTTAACTGGAGCACAGAAAGTGTTGAACATGGAAATGAGTCTCTGTCTTCACTGTTCAGTTCTGCTGCCACTGCCGCCAAGTGCTTGCTCATACAGTACATCCATGTTACATAGAGTCTTTACTTTACAATATACTGTAAAGTGAACCAAGTGCCGGCTGCAAACCTTATGAGGGGGCTGTACATGTTAATGAGCATATAAACACATTCAAAAGGAGGAAAAAGCTCACAAAGGAGAGTGGAGTGTAATGACCAAGGGGCCAGTGAAAGAAAAGCAGTTTTCAGCCCCATGCGTGCAGTTGTTTTAAATATTGCCCAAAGGGCATCTCCACACGTACTGCTGATGCTGCAAGAACCAGCCTGTTGATTCATTTTACTCACTCATCCTTCACATTTGCACTGGCTCTGTAATGTGCCCCTAATATTCTGATTTTAATCAGGTTAAAAGCTCAAATAGTTAACTCAAAATAAACAGGCCCAGACTAAGTAAGATTTCATTCTGGGCTGGTTTAAACGTTTGTTTGTTTTTTACTTTGAGTTGAAAAATGTGATGCCATCACAAAGCGGTGCGTGACCGAGCTGGTGACCAGCATGAGCTGTGTAGCTGAGGCCCATGTTTGTAATTCCCAGTGTCAATAATCCAACACCAAACAAGAGTCAATAGCAGAATAAGCTGTTTGGCATTGGCAGAGAAGATTTGTGATTTTTTTTTCTTCAACCTACATACTCAGCTCTGCCGCTC